GGAATGCAGGAGAAGGAATTCTGCCCTGCTTGGTGTAAAGCCAGCGCTGGTAAGCAAGTTCCCTGTCCAAGAAATTATGTTCGAAAATCAATTAAAACAGCTTTTCACAGATGCTTATTAATTGTCATTCTCTTTTTCTGGGCACCTGACATGAAACTGAGTAGTTTAACTTCATGGAGGTGCCAAACACTCAGACCTGTAGTTTAGATCCAGAGCTGAGCAGCAAGGAGTCTGGAGGAAAAAAGATTTAATTGTCTCTGTGTTCACTTAGTAGTGAATTTTTTAAATTTTTTGTCTCTCTTCCCCATCTTTGAAGTTTCCATGGTAATAAGTAACTTAGGAGAGCACTATGGAAATAGATCAGTGACTGTGAAACGTTTTTACTTACTTTCTGTTACAGGACTGCAGAAGAGCTTGTGAGACAAAATTAGCTTTGTTTTTAATCCGAGATTTGAGTCGTGTTTGAGAATGAAGACCTGGTGCTGCAGTATGAAGGGAATAACTATATGTAAAATAGGTGATTATTCATGAATGCCTTTTAGCCTGCCTAGTGTGGTGTGGGGTTGCAAGGGAGGGAAAAAAACATATTCTATAAAATCACAGTTAAGTGTGTGCCTAGAGACCTGACCAAAAGCTGAGGGTATTTTGTGACTTCTGAATCCTTGTTTTTCCATTTTTAATATTGTCCCTTCAGCTCTACATTACGTGAATGTGCAAACAACATAGAGCTGAATCTAAGCTTGTCAAACATAGTTTGTTTTTTTTTTTTAATTAAAAAAGGCTGTTTTCTGGCCGATATCTGCAGCTCACCTTTAATCTCAGAGCTGTGGTTTCAATTTGTGTTGGGAACTTGAACCTCTGCCAAGAATCCAATCTGTGTCCTATTGAAGAGCGTGTCGTCCCCGAGCTCAGCGTTTTGGGTGGGTTGTGCCGAATACCGACAGCTTTGGAGTTATGAGGTCTTGACAGTCTCGGCTGTTGAATTGATTTGGTTTTGACAGCAGTGGTCACCAACAGGTCCCTTTCTTGGGTTTGACATCAGCTTTGGCCATTGGCATAGATGGTTTTAATCTTTTGGCAATGATTGTGAAGCGTTGAGTGCGAGAATAGAGGTCTTGGTGCCGTAGCCCCTGCAAAGGCTTGTGTTGGCGTGGAAAAATGTGTGTCTTAACTCAGTGTTGGTATTGTTCACATCATAGTTTGTACTTCTGTACACGTAACAGCTTAGATTGTTGTCTTGATTAATGTCAAGTAAAATTTATTGCAAAATCTAGGCGTTTTATAAAGTAAAAAATGGCAGGTGTGTGACTTGACGTACTGAATTAATTTTTATCCAGGCACAACAGGGACATGGGGGGAGTTGTGGGCTTGCATGGGGGGAGCAAATTTCATGTTGTAACGTGCGTAAGCAGCTGAAAACACCTGAATCTTTACAAACTTTTAGAAATAAGGCATTATATGCATGAGATTTCCCTGAATGTAAGTAAAATATTTGCCAAATGCTAAATTTCTCCTGGTAAATGTGTTACAGATTTCCCACTGCTTTGCTGGACAAAGGAGCACCTATTGCACCTGCAGTCCATAAACCCATATTTGATGTTTTTCCCTGTCTTTCTGTAACTCAGGTATTGCTGGGAGTCTTATAATTTCCTGGCAGTCAGGCACTGCAGAGTTGGTACTGGGTGCTTGCTTGTCCTCTGGATGATATGGAGATGAATGTAATTGATTTTCTTCTTTTTATTTTTTTCCCCTCTACCTTCTTTTCTACCTGACTATCCTTTAGGTCAACTGGAATACTTCTCAAGTCATGTGCAGCAGGATTCTGTCAGGAAATCACTTCTGTTTGTTCTAGTGGACGAACAGCTCAGATACTGCCATGGCCACCGTTTGTGAAGTTGCACTCTTTGTCTCGCAGACACTAGCATTGGGTCACCCGGTAGGTTTTTTTGGTCAATGGTCTTATGTGCCACTGAAAGCAGTTGTTAATGTTTTTATGCATTTTCTATATTTTTTTTTTTCCCCCTTTCAAGCATCATCTTGACGTCTGACAGGCTCCCGTTGTTGAAAACAATGATTTTGGATGATCTACCTAACTTAAAAGATACATATGCCTCCTTGTACTCCTCAGCTATGGAAGACTTAGAGGTGGATTTTGATTCAGGACTGGAGGAAGATGAACTGAAACAGGAGGCTGCTCCTGAGGATTCCACGATATTTGTAGCTTTTGAAGGAAATATAGGCGACAGAGACTTTGAGCAGAAACTAGATATCATATTGGAGAATGTGCCTGGCATTTTACACATGGGTAATGTACCTTCTTGGCGTTTTTCAACTTTCTTTACAATATTTATTTACCTAGTCAGGGTGCTTGTGCAAAGAAATAGATTATATTGGTTTTGTAATAAAATTTGTTGAAGTTATTCTTAGTGAATTTTGGAGCTGTTCTTCTCAGAGACACAGAGTACCAGTTTCTGTAGTTGTTTTATTTTTTAAAACTGATTTCACTAGTGAGTTTATTTATTCCTATTCAGTTCCCATGTTTTACTTGTTTTTTTCTCTTTCATTCCCCTCCATTACACATCGCTGTGTTATTTGGAAGTGAAACCAGGCTTGTCCACGCAGGAGATGTTTCTTACTACCAAACCCATCCAGTGTAAACCACTGCAGTTCATCTGAGGATAGGTTCACTCTCAAGTCACTGGGTCCGTTCAAGACATTACTGCCCCTTTGCTGCTACATTGGCCTACACTACCTGAGATTATTTTTTTTCTGATGGAGGACGTGGAGTTCTCTTGCGTACCCCTGTATGCCCACCAGGGTCTGGGGACAGCTGTGTAGCTAGTGAGTGATAACAGGCTTTTGGGACAATAACATCTTTTCCCAGCACATCTAGATCTGGAAAAAGACATCTGTCCACTGTCTGAACATCTTTATAAAGGGTCTTACGCTAATGAGTTGCGGAGTCTTACTCGTACAATTAGAATCTTTCTTAATAGACAGCTCTCCCTTGGGAAGGGCGCGCTGTTGTGGTGGTTCGGGTGGGTGTGCGTGGGTCAGTGATACGCTCCCTCCCCACCGCCTGTTTCCCCAGCAGTGCCCCACATCTGAGCTTAACAGCTCCATTTTTTGCCGTTAGTATGGTTTCCTATGGAAACAGATCAAACCAGGTGGGTTGCCTGAAGTGCGGTGGCAGAAACACAACCAGAAGAGCCTTGGAGACCAGGACCACAGCAGCACTGATCTGACCTGGCATGATGTCATATAACTGCAGTCTAAAAGCCACGTCATCGCCCCTGCGCTCTCTCCCTCTTTCTGCTGTTCATGACCCAAGCTTTTCCTGACAACTCTAGGTCGCCATTCCAGCACGCTGCTCATCTGTTGCATGGTCTTTTGAAACTGCACCGTACAACGATGAATCCACCTTTCTTCTTCAGGCAGGCAGTCTTTGTGTTTAAACAAAACTAATTTTCTAGATGAGGCACTGGAACAGGTTTCCCAGAGAAGTTGTAGATGCCTCATCCCTGGAAGTGTTCCAGGCCAGGTTGGATGGGGCTTTGGGCAGCCTGGTGTAGTGGAAGGTGTCCCTGCCCATGGCAGGGGGGTTGGAACGAGATGGTCTTTGAGGTCCCTTCCAACCCAAACCGTTCTGTGATTCTATGAGGTTTTATGATGTTCGTTGCGTTGCTTGTTTTTTTCAATAATGTGAAATACCTTTCCAGAAAAATAACCTATGACTCCTGAATAACCAAACGGAGTTTCTTTGTCACTTTGTTCTTTTCTTTCCCCTTTGTCCAGTCGTAGTCAGTTGGGTCTGGCGTCCGTTCTCGAGGTGCTCGCCGTTATCTCGCGGGGAGATGAAAAAGCTGGGATAAGACAAAAATGCTGTGAAGAAACACCATTATTTTGAGCTGTGTCTTATGAACAGTTGAAAGTAGACGTAAAACTAGCAGATAATGACTGGTGTAAAAGGATTTATGTTAATACTGTACATGAATTGTGTAGTTTTTGAATGGAAACAAATTCAATCTGTAGGAGTACGGAGCTGCCTTTGTTATACGGCGGCATCTGCGTGCTGGGTTTGCTATAAATATTAATGGTGGGATTAATAAACATGATTCAGACCTCTGCTGAGAGAGCAGAAGGCGAATATTTAAAATGATCATTGTCAAATTAATTTGAAAATTCTCCAGGTGACAAGTTATTTAAACCGATTCAGAGCAAGACAGGATGTTCAGAATGTCGAGTTCGAAGTGACGTTGGTTTAGGCTCAGCAGATGCAATGTTTGAAAAACGAGAAGCTCGGGTACCAGTATCTAGAAACACTGACACTGATAATGCAATTTTTATATGTAAAATATTGGAACATTAGTAACAGTAAATATAAGACTCTTGGAACCACCACAAAAGGTGATTTTAAAACTCCTGCTGTCATGTTTCCAGCCAAAAACATGTTTATAGGTAGAAAGAGGATGAATTTAGAAATGCCGTTGCTGCAGCAGCAGAAGGGAGTTGGTGGATTGGTTAAGGACAAGAGATTCCCAAACAGGAAGGAGTTATTTGCATTCTTAAATAACACGTTCTTCGGAATCAAAAAGTTAGCAAACTTTTAGTAAATCTGATGTTACAGTGGAAGAACTGACTGATTAAAATCTGGGCTGATGTTTGCAGTTTTCAGAGGGACTTCCTTTTCAGAAAGCTGGAACCTGGAAACTTACAAACCTTGTTAGGAATAGGTTTTTAATTAGCCTTAAATGCATTTTGTAGCAATAATTTAGTTAGGTACCACTTCAGGTAAATATATCCAACATGGCTGCCCTGCTTTTTTGCTAATTCCCACCTGTCACTTTTAAAACAACTGATCTACGTAGAAACACTCATATGTAGACGAGGTTTTCAGAAAACTGGCAACTAAATACTTTGCCCGACTCCAATACGCTTTTTTGCAGTGGATTGAACATACCTATTCAGTAAAACTAAATAACGTGGTAGAAATTAATGAGATAGTGCTAGGACTCTGTTAGCGCTGGCTTTCTGAAAAAAAAAAAATGGTTTCACAAGCATTTGTAGAGGAAGTATTTCAAGAATGAGGGTTTCATTCTTGTAGTCAATTTTTTCACGCATCCATCTGGTCCACTAACTTACTGATCTGTTTTATTAACACTTTCATATCTTTTCAAAGTATCCACGGAATATTTCAATTGTTGAGCAATGCTATTAAGTGATTGTGTTGGCCATTGTGTCGGTTATCAATCGGGTAGTTTTTATATTGTTAATTTTTGGAAAATACCTGCAATGGTTTGGCAGTACTGATCGCTGTACACCTGTGCTGGACAAACCTCCTGTACCTGAGACTGACCACTGATAATTTTCAAAGGAAAATAATTGTTTCAGTTTTTTCAGCTGTGCTTTTTTATTAAGTTATTTCGTCATACATGTTTGAAAACTGCCTTTGCACTGACTCTGACCGTTTTTCTTTTAAGAATCCAACAAGTTAAAACTGCAGAAGATAGAACCTTGGAACAGCGTCCGCGTCACCTTCAATATACCCCGGGAAGCCGCTGAGCGGCTGCGCATTCTGGCTCAGAATAACAACCAACAGCTTCGTGACCTGGGAATTCTCTCCGTTCAAATTGAAGGTATTTCACACCTAATCTGCTTCCGAAGGCATTGAGCTAAAATTTAAATATACTCCGCAAGTGATGTCGTGTACGTGGTTAATGTTGCCAAACTTCTAATTTAGTAATTTGGAGAATGACTTCAGTGAAAAGGTAGCTCAAGACTTTTATTCTTTCAAGAATAGTTTTAATAATTAATAATAAAAATGATAGCTGAAGATCCTGTGAGCATCAGAGAACTTCCTGAAAAGTTTTTTTTAAGTGGTAGGTAGCAAAACGTGCCCTAATGTTTTTCCCCTAATTGTTTCGTATGAGGCTTTCTTAAAAACAAGTTTTCACCAGATTTCACAATTAAAATATCCCTTCTGGACAATTGTCCAAGGGCACACTCAGGATGGCTCCAACTGCATTTAGTGCTTGTTATGGTGTTTGCTTTTCTTAAAATTGAGATCTGGCAGATAAGGGTAGTATGATGCATAACTGTCCTCCTCAAGTGCGCGTTATGGGTAAAGTTTGTTCTTCCTTCTTCGACGTCTTTTAAGTGTCCTTTTGGAAATGTCTGTGTTCTGCTTTTCTGGGTATCGTTCAGTTCACCCAAATTATGCGTTACTTTTAGGGGAAGGTGCTATCAATTTAGCTTTAGCTCAAAACAGAAGCCAAGATGTCCGGATCAACGGGCCCCTGGGAGCAAGCAACTCGGTGCGAATGGAAGCAGGGTTTCCCATGCAAGGGGGACAAGGTAAATTCCTTTGGTTTTTATTTCTTTAGCTTTATACACTTGGAAATTTGTTACTAAGCTAATCATAAAATTTCACTGATTATAGCAACTATTGTTTGCAGAATTCTAATTGCAATTTTAATAAATGTGTGTTCTTGTTTCTGTACTGTCAAACCATGTCCCATATTACGTAAACTAAATAGTTGGCTGTGTTTTGTCCCACAAACATTGGAGTGATTTGGGTGGGGCAGATTGGTTTGTTTGGGGTTTTTTAAAGGGTTTGGTGGTTTGGGTTTTTGTTTTGATTTTGGTATTTGGGTTGGTTTTTTTACATAAAGACTGTTAAAGCAGATGAGTCTAGTACAATGAATTCACTTTGAAATGTGCATGAATTATCAGGTTTTTTGTTTGTTTGTTTTTTTTTCAGAAGAATCCTTTATTCAGTGTAAAATAATAAACTATTTTAGATTAAATCTGTTGTAATTATGGGAAGGACAGGACACTGTCATTGTTAGTCTGTCTTTATTTTTTGATAAACTTTTGGGTCTGTTGTAATTATGGGAAGGACAGGACACTCATTGTTAGTCTGTCTTCTTATTTTCTGATAAACTTTTGAGATCTGATGATAGAGAATTAATTTTCATGGACAGGTGTAGTTATGCATGGTAAGTAGTTTTTGGCTACAAAAGTCAGGTTTTATGTAGAGTTAAGACAGCTACTCTGTAATTTATTTTAATAGTTGAATCCTAAGGCAAAACAAACTAATTAGTATCTTAGTAAATAGGATTTAAAGCAATTAAAAAACTGGGAGTGTTTTTTTGTCAGAGTTAATGTAAGATGCATGTGTGACTGTTGATGAGAAGGAATGGAAAGAACATTTTACCTCTGTAGAAACCTGATAAAACAGTAGTTAAATCATTGTGCTTAACGAGGAATATAAAACATTTAAAGAAAGGTTTACTTTGAAAGTGGCTGCTCTCGTCTTTGCTGTGACAATAATGAGCTTCATTTCCTGCCTGCAGGTCAACAATATAAATGTAAACAGTAAAATAGAACAATATAACCAACAGGTCAGAAACGATTTTATAAAATAGTTTGGAAGAGAAGCATTGAAATTTTTCTCCTTCCAGTGCCTCAGTTACTTCCTAGTATTTTGCAGGAATCTTAGTAAACGTACGACTTTGATACCATCTTGTCACTTAATGACTTCAGTGACAAGTCAGGCTCAAATAATTCATGAGCCGGTCGTGTTTCCTTCTGTGGCCTTTTTAAAGGTTTGATGCGAAAGGAAAAGCTTCAGCATGACCTTAACCTGTGTGGTTTATACCAGAGAATCTAAGCTTTCAGACAGAAATATGTGTCCTCAGGTTATTTTGGACAAACAATTCTTAAAGTCTAAAGAAATGTTTTATTAACAAATACAATTTTTTCTTGTTAAAAAAAAAAAAATCTTAAAATTCTTCTCTACGTAAAAACTGCAAGGCTTGATAATTTTTATTTTTATTTTTTAAGGTTTAATAAGAATGAGCAATGCTGCAGCTGTCATGATGTCCCAGAGTGGAAATGTGCCCTCCTCTATGGTGGCAAGTGGTGCTAGTGCTGAGCTGCAGCCGAGAACACCTCGGCCTTCCTCACAGCCAGGTGGTAAAATTTAGTCACAGTACTGACCTGCAAATGTTCTTGAGTTTTTATTCTTGAGCGTGTACTCGTAAGAGCACTCCAGAATTGTCCTGGAGTATTTCCCCTGCCTTTTTTGGGAGTTCCTCTTTCTGTGGAACCCTCCCTGCCCTCATTAATTTGGTAAAATTTTTCAAATAATTTGCGTGCCTAACGAGTCACCAGCTTGCTTGGCGTTTTGTTGCAATGTGTTGAGCAGCGGCGGTGGTATTTTTGCAGTAGAACTGTTGGGACCAAGCTTGATGTTGAGATAGAGGCAAGTGAGGGACTGGTTGAATGAGGCAGATGTCTCCAGTAGGAAGCAAACGCACCAGGCTGAGCACAAGTGCTTTACAGGAGGGGTGGGTAGACTGGAAGTGTAAGGACTGGGGGTCTCAATGTGAGAATGTTGAGGGGTTTTTTTCTTCACAATTCTGCCAGTACAAGTTACTTGTGTTTTGTGACTACAGAAAGAGAGAGGGGGTTATTACTTGTCCCTCCCTACAGTGGTGGCAGTACTTGCCAACTTCTGTAGATCTCTGCAGTATTTATTCTTACAGACAGCATTTTTCATAAGTGCTTCAAATATTCTGGGAATATTAGTTTATGATACTGCCTTAATTCCTCATTATGCCACTTTTGTAACTGGTAGGGATGGTAGCCTCAACAGATGGGTTATACATACAAACGGGAGGACGAGAGGCTGGGGGGGGGGCGCCATGGGAAACGACTGTAGGAGGAGTCAACACCGTGCCCTGGCAGCCCAAAGGGCCAGCCGTGTCCTGGGCTGCACCGAGCACAGCACCGCGAGCCAGTCGAGGGAAGTGATTGTCCCAGTCCACACCACGCTGGTGCAGTCCCACCTCGAGCCCTGTGGGCAGTTTTGGGCACCTCAGTGTACAAAGGACATCAGACTGCTGGAGTGTGTCCAGAGGAGGGTGACCAACACGGTGACAGGTCTCGAGGGCGAGACGTACGAGGAACAGCTGGGGTCACTTGGTGTGTTGGGCTTGGAGAAGAGAAGGCTGAGGGGTGCCCTCATGGCAGCGTACACCTCCTCACGGGGGGCAGCGGAGGGGGTGCTGATCTCCTCTCTCTGGTGACCAGCGATGGGACACGAGGAAACAGAATGAAGCTGCGTCAGGGGAAGTTCAGATTGGACTTTAGGAAAAGGTTCTTCACTGAGAGGGTGGTCGGTCCCTGGAACAGGCTCCCCAGGGAAGTGGTCATGGCACCAAGTCAGAGTTCAAGGAGCATCTGGATGATGAGTCATATGGTCTAGTTTTAGGCAGTCCTGCGAGGAGCAGGGAGCTGGACTCGGTTGTTGTGGGTCGCTTCCAACTTGAGAGATTCTGTGATTCTGAGGGTGTAGAGGGCTGACATTAGTCTGTAGCAACCAGCACTGTGGAGCTATCGTGCTTTATTTTAGAGGTTATCGATTGATAAGACCTGGCTTCTCGGGATTCCCAAACATTTTGAAAACTTAAAACATTGCCTGGTCTGTCTGTTGGAGAAATTGGAACACTGAAGAGTGAATTTTTATGCAGAGTAAGCAAATGCAAGCAAGCAATTCACCCTTTCTTGTTTTGGGATGGGTTTTGTCTACAGTAGGTTATTTTTTTTACTTTTCTTTGCTATTTTAATAGATGCAATGGACCCGCTCTTATCTGGGCTAAATATCCAGCAGCAAAATCATCCATCTGGATCTTTAGCTCCCCAGCTCCATTCAATGCAGTCAGTTCCTGTAAACAGGCAGATGAACTCAGCCAACTTTCAGCAGCTCCAGCAGCAGACGCAGTTGCAGACACGTCCTCCCCAGCCACATCAGCAGCCACAGCAGGGTATTCGACCTTCATTTACATCACCAGCACAGGTTCCAGTTCCTCCTGGCTGGAACCAGCTTCCTTCTGGAGCACTTCAGCCTCCTCCAACCCAGGGAGCATTGGGTACCTTGACAGTAAACCAGGGTTGGAAAAAGGCCCCGTTGCCTGGACAAATGCAGCAGCAACTTCAAGCAAGACCATCTCTAGCAACAGTACAAACTCCTACTCATCCTCCACCTCCATATCCTTTTGGAAGCCAGCAAGCTTCCCAGGCTCACTCAAACTTTCCCCAAATGAGCAATCCTGGCCAGTTTACTGCTCCTCAAATGAAAAGCCTTCAGGGAGGGCCCTCACGGGTTCCTACGCCACTACAACAACCCCACCTGACCAACAAGTCTCCTGCTTCCTCTCCCTCCTCCTTCCAGCAGGGATCTCCTGCATCATCTCCAACAGTTAACCAGACGCAGCAGCAGATGGGACCAAGGCCTCCCCAGAGTAGCACGCTTCCCCAGGGATTTCAGCAGCCTGTCAGTTCTCCTAGTCGTAACCCTATGGTGCAACAGGGAAACGTACCCCCCAACTTCATGGTGATGCAGCAGCAAAACCAAGGTCCACAAGGTTTACACCCTGGTTTAGGAGGTAAGACGTACTGAGACCTTCTTTTATTTTAAATAGAAAAGAAGCGTGAAATGGCTAGAAGTAATGTTGCTATTAGTGTTGAAAAGATCCTTTAAGAGACAGAGTAAAGGCATAGATTGAGTACAAGGTGGGTGTGGGTGAATTAGCATCAGCATCACTCCGTTCCTACTGCCTGCCTCCGTCCTGCAGTGTCGCAGTGATCGCCCCGGAGAGGGCTCTGGGCCACTGCAGAGAGAAGCTGCTGTGTGCAGTTGCAGGTTGTGGCTGCCAGTCCTCCTCTTGAGAGTTCTTCTGTTGCCTTTCAGCAAGTTCAGCATGTTCAGAGGTGGTGTGGGTTTTCTGTCTTGGTTTGGTGGTGTTCTCTTTTTGGGGGGGAGGATTTTTTTTTTGAGAAAGAGAGTAAGTGTAATAAGAACAAATGAACATATTCTTTCTCTCTTCAGCTTCCTCTGTCACCACTTACATTTTCTACTACAGAAGTGAGGTGTTATTTTGCGTCCTTCCTTTCTAAGTTGTGGATGTTTCTTCTTGACTGTCTTTGTTTGTCATCAGTTTCTTCCCATATAAAAGAGGAAAGAGCTGTTACTGCCATGCTGTTGTACTCCCTGTTCTGAAAATTAAGAGGTCAAGGGATGTTTTAACTTCCCCTTTGGCTGTGATATCTTTAGTTTTCTCCTCCGCCCTCTGCCCTCACATCTTTTACTTACTACTCCTAGAATTCTTCTCTAACAGTGAAGGAATTTCATTTGTCAATCCCAAGATCTCTTTTGTGTCCTCGGTGTTTCTTTCCTCCCTTGAGCCTTTTGTAGTTCTGTGCCAGACTTGTAGCACTTCTTTCTGCTCATTTCTTCATCTCTCTGGAATGGCTGCTCTCAGATACCTGTACACAAGCTCTCGCTTAAGCCTTTGAAGTGTTTTCTTTTTGTACTTTATCGTTTGAGCAGTATTCTTTGTCCACCTACACACACATATATATATTCTGGTTTCTTGCATCCTTACGTTGTATGTCTGAAATCTGTCCAAGGAATACCCGTTTCTTGGCCTGCTAATCTGGACAAGCTTCTTGTTTTCACTGTTTGTACCATGGGTCTCATTGGAATTCAGATGGATTTGATTCAGATGAATTGTCTCAGTTTCAATGTTCTCCTCTACCAGACTGTTCTTAAGATCTGCCAGTGCCATATACTTGGTATATCTTATCTTGTCTCCATCTGGAAGCAGTTATTTATTATAGTCACATTTCCCCACAGCTTTGCCTCGCCAGCCATGTGTCCCCAGCTAGACAGCATAGCCAGGACCTCTAGGTAGTATAACCTCTGTGTTCTCCTGCCTTTCTGAGTAAACCTACTACAAACAAAACCCTACTGTTTTTGAGTTAGAAATGATACCCCAAACAAACTATCAAAATACATTATTGGGACTCACTGTAGACCTTACTGCTAAAATCAGTAATCCTGCTATGAGCTGTATCCTCCACTGATTTCTGCTGGTTTCAGCAAAGCTGTGTTGCTTCCACTTGCTGAGATTTTTGCCTGGCTTTTGTGCATGCTCATTCCTTGACACAATTTACATGTTAATTAAGTTGTAATTGTGAATCTTTCAGTTTTTAAGCCATCTTGCATTTAAAGGTTTGGTGTAAACAAGTATGTTTAAACACTTTCCATTTCACCTAGTTAATTTAGCAAATCAGAATTTTTGTTAGATTTGGAATAGGCCAAGTTAACACTTCTTTTTTTCCCAGTTCAAGCATTTCTACCTGCAAAACTTTCCTGAAAGTTTAGCAGAACTAAAACTAGAGTTCAGTGATGTGATATTTTGAGAAGTACATGTTCCGTATTTGCAGATGTGTCTTATTGTTTGAGCTGTAAACTTGATTATCTTGAAATATTAATTATAAACCTAAGGCCAGATTAATGAACACAAGCAATACAATTAATTGTGAGAAAGCTGCAACTAGAAGGAACCAAAGTCAAATTCTGTGTATCGTGGGTCGGAAAAATAAGGAAGGCCGGGGTGGCTTCGAGGTCTGTGGCATCGTCTGTTTGACAGTGAGTTAAGAAGAAGTGGGTTCTCTTAAATCCGTCCGTGCTGCTGCTCACGTTGGTAGGCAGAGGGAAGGTTTTGCTCTGTGATGTGTCAGGTGAGGGCCTGATAGAATGACATGCTCTTGCAGTAGGAAGAGCAGGGCTACGTCAGCGAGAAGCCGTTCTGGACGTGCTGTCTCACGAGGTTACTGAGCCCACTGTGCGTTGAGAAGATGTTTTGAGTGTGGGCACACAGAGCAGCAGTGCCAAGGAGCACGAAGGAGCGTGTGCCTGGTGTGTTATGGTGAGAGCTGTCGTTGAGGGGAGCACATCGCTGTAGCAGAAATGCAGGCAGACACGAACGACTTGCGTGGAGTAAGCTAAAGGCCTGGTGAGAGTTGAGGTGCACTAGAGAAGAAAACAGCAAACTGTGTCACCTTAGTTTCTAGTTTCTAAGAAGTCAAACATGGACTTTTTGCCTTCTCTGCGGGGTAAGTTTTGTACTTAAATTATAGTTTGAACTGAGTCATAGTAGATCGTTAGGCGGAACTATTGCCCAGAGAAGAACCATAAATGTCTTCAGGGGTTTTGTATATTGGCAAAACCCACTTTCTGCCTAAACCTGTAACGTGACAGTACAGCCTCAGAGGTGTTCTTCCCATCATACTCCAATGATGGATTTTCTTTTTCTTTTCC